GGGTGGCTGTGGTGGGATCGTCTGAATCTCCGTCCTAAGACGTCCCTGGGTGGCTGTGGTGGGATCGTCTGAATCTCCGCGTCCTAAGACGTCCCTGGGTGGCTGTGGTGGGATCATCTGAATCTCTGCGTCCCTAAGACGTCCCTGGGTGGGTATGGTGGGATCTTCTGAATCTCCGCGTCCTAAGATGTCCCTGGGTGGCTGTGGTGGGATCGTCTGAATCTCCGTCCTAAGATGTCCCTGGGTGGCTGTGGTGGGATCGTCTGAATCCCTGGGCCCCACTTGGCGTTAGTGTGCTCGGAGAGCCCGGTCCATCCACTTGGCAGTGCACAGGCGTGCGAATGCTCCTGTTCTTTCCAGGAAGCTTTAGCTTGAAATGCGCTATGAGGAGGGGTGGGTTAAAGTTGAGCCTCCTTTGAATATAGAATTTTCACAGTGAAAAGAAGAAAAGACTGCTGATCTCAGATGTATGCGTGAGTATTCTCTTAATCAGTGTGAGGCACAGGCAGGGCTATTTCTCTCTCTTTATGTGAAGAGAGACACAAGAGAATCCCTCCGCCTTTCGTGGAGGTTTTTGCCTTAGAGTACCTGTGCTTCCCTGAGAGAGGGAGGCAGAGACAGTGAGAAGGAAAGTGAGAGCTCCCCCAGGCGGATGGCGGGGGATGGCCATGCCACAGTCCCTTCTCCATCCTCCTCCCGGGATCTGGGACATGCATGCACACGCACCCAGCATGGTTTTTAAGCCACTGGGTCTGGAACCCGAACTGGAGCCGCCATGTAGGAGTTAGTGATGTAACTGCTGTGCCAGCTGCTGGCCCGAGATGCACTGTTTTAACAGTTCTCTATCACACAGTCCCGTGGCTAAATGAGTTGCAGGGCCAGAGAATGTATAAATCATGGATAGTTCATGTTTTTACAGCAAAAATCCTACTTAATTAACACTATAGACACTAGATCACTAACTTCTTCTGTTGTCTTTTTAAATAGTTTATTTTCATTTGTGACGAGGGCACTGCGCATGCCCGGCACGTGCTCACGCTGCAGGAGAGAGTGACTCCCCATAGGCTCCATTGCACCACCAACGGTGCCCCCCCCAGGCTTCCAGCCCCAGGGTCTCGGGCACGTGTGCACCCAGCATGTGCTTACGCGGACCCAGGGGTCCCAGCCTGCAGTCGGCCGTGCAGTCCCAGCACGCGGTTCAGTGGGCTGTGGGCGG